TCCAGGTAGGACCATTCTTACCAGCTGTGATGTCAAGCATGTTTTTAATATCTTGTCCTGCCTGGACTGGCCCAAGGGCTACTGTCCTCACCATCTCCCATTTAATTTGTTCAAAAGGTTGTCACTGCTAAAAAGCCTATTGCTGCTCAGGGCCTCATTTAAAATCATTCTTCCAGGTCACTTGGTAGAGAGGGCTCACAGTCAGACTGTAGTCTGGGTTCTGCATCCTCCAGAAACCCAGAGTACCCAAGAAAGCCTGTTTCCTGTTTGCAGTTTGGTGGGGACACAGCTGCTATCTTGTTGATCACATCCATTGGGATTTGGCAATGCCTGTCTTGCCATTTTGTTTCTAAAAACTGTATCTCCTGTGCAGGTCCCTTAACCTTACTTTCTTCTACAGCAAAACCAGCCATCAGAAGCATTTATCTTCTGCTGTGTTGTCCCATGTGATCATGTCATCAACGTACTGCAGGTGTTCTAGAGCTCCACCTTTCTCCAGTGCAGTATGGATCAGGCCATGGCAGATCGTTGGGCTGTGCTTCCACCCCTGGGGCAGTTGATGCCAGGTGTACTGGACAACCCTCCAGGTGAAAGCAAACAGTGGCCTGCATTCTGGTGCTATAGGAATGGAAAAGAATGCATTAGTGGTATCAGTTGTGGCTACCACTTGGCCGTCTTCAACTCCAGCTCCAGCATGTCTGGTACAGCAGCACTCATTGCTGGTGTAACTTCATTCAAGCCACAGTAATCCACTGTGAGTCTCCATTCTCCATTAGACTTTCACACTGGCCATGTGGGGCTGTTGAAGGTGAGCAGCTGTTGAAGGATGAGCAAACCTCTGGCTCTCTAGTTAATGAATCCGCTGCTGGATGGGGATCGGGGAATCTTGACTGGTGCGATACTGCCACTGGCGCACCATTGTGGTAGCAACTGTCAGCTGCTGCTCTTCAACCCATATCAACCTCAACACACAGAAGGGTCCTCTGAGAGCCCGGGCAAGGTGGGCAATGGCTCAGTTTCCTCCAAGGCAGCTGTACAAAAGGCCCACTGGTACCCTTTTGGGTCCTTGAAATATCCTCTCCTGAGGCAGTATATGCCAAGGACACACGGGGCCTTTGGGCCAGTCACGATGGGGTGTTGATGCCACTCCTTCCCAGTGAGGCTCACTTCAGCTTCCAGTGCAGTGAGCTGCTGGGATCCCCCTGTCACCCCAGAGATACAGGTGCATTCACCCTCTCTGTATCTTGATGGCATTAGGGTGCACAGTACACCTGTATCTACTAAAGCTTTGCACTCCTGTAGGTCAGATGTGCCAGGCCATAGGATCCACACAGTCCAGTTAATCCAACTGTACCTCCCCTCCACCTGGCTGGACTCAGGGCCCCTCTAATCCTGATCAGAGTCCCTCAATTCTCGTGAAAATGACTTAAAGGTCCCTTCAAGAGGATCAGACGTAAGTTCTGTTTGAGGAATTCCCCACTGGACACTGGAGTGGCATTTTTCTTGGAGAATCCCCTTTCACAGTTGCTTTCCCTCACAGCTCATGTGTTTGTGCAGCTAGGATCAAAACTGTTTTTCCATCCCACTTCCTCATGTCTTCTCTGTGGTCATCAAGGTAAAAACACAGGGTGGTAGTGTTCTGTGCCTTCCACCTTCTGTCTTGGGCAGGGGAGTGTTTGCTCCTAATGGCCAAGTTATGGGCCCATACAGGTGAAGAGTAGGACACATCTTCTTTTGTTTCCTGGACCTCCTGGGACAGTTCCTCCATGGCCAAATGCAGGCCTATAAGGAGGAACAGATACTTTGTAGCACTGGAGCTGGCCAGCCAGTTCATCCTGGCAGTTTTTCTAGGACACTACTGCCAACGAGTTGGCACATGATGGTGGTGCACTTTGTAGGAACTTATGCCACATGGGTGGTGTACATTGGACTTCATCAGGACCTGTGGGTGACTGCTTGTCATTCTGGTCATTATAAATCATATCCAGCACAAGGAATTCCCTCAGGTGCTGAATACCTCTCTCCATCATGGTTCACTTGACTGGCTGATGTGTAACATCTTCCTTGAAGGTGTACCTTTCCTTTATGCCTGACAGGAGTCACTTCCAGAGGCTGAGGGCTTGTGTCTGTTTTCCAGATGTCGTATCAATGCCCCCTTCCCTGGACATGGACCCCATCTGCTGCTTGACCTCCTAACCCTCTAATTCCAAACTAGCAGGTCTGTTATCCCAGCATTGGGGCAGCCAGGTGACAGTTAGCTCGCCTGGATGGCAGCTGAAATCCTGTCACATCTCTCACAACTCACTCGGGGGCAGGCATCAGGTGACTGCCTCTGGCTCTTCCTCCTGTTCTTGTGATGGCCCTGGTTCATTGTCATCCCTCACTACACAAACTGATTTTTTGTGGTTTTTTTTCTGTATGTGGGCAACTGATACTGACACAGGTTGGTTCTCTGGTTCAGCTGCAGCACCTGCTGGGCTGCTTTTAGGGCCAGAGACCTTCTGGTCCAGAGACCTTCTCTTCCCTTTTAGGGCACTGAATAGTGTTGGAAAGGACTCAATAGCTGTGGGCAAGGCCCCAGGACATTGCAGTGGTTTGTCTCTCTTAGGAATTGCCAGGTTGACAACATACTTTTCCTAAATAATTGCACTTTTTTGGGGGTGAAATTCTAAAACATGGGAGGTGACCACTGGCGTAGGCACTTGCCCATATTCTGCCACATGCTCTGCCACTTGTAACTATCCAACCATGGGGCAGTTACTGTTGAAAAAGATTTGTATGACCCTAAATGAAATATAGCAAACATTCAGAAGGCATAGCACCGAGAGCATACTGACCTGGACATCCCAAGGTTAGTCAAAATTCTCAAAAGCTGAGAATATCTCCCATGTCTCAGTCATAGATTGGGTGAGATTGCTGAAAAACAACATGGCCCCATACACATACCAGTTTAACCTCAAAATAAGTGATATAATCAAACCATAAGCTGACAGTATCCACTAGAGCAACATGGGACTTCTGACCCAGAGATGACAAACACCATCACAGGGAATACACAGAGGACAGAAGGATTTACACAACACCACCATGCAATGAAATGGACTAACATTGTGAACACAGACTATTTAACCAATATAAACAAACAAAAAAAAAGGGTAATAAAAATGTTTTACCATGCTTTGGTCAGAGTTATCTCAACCCTATGTGCCCCATGCTGGGTGCCAAAAAAGGACCTGTGTTGTGGTTTAGACTCAGCCAGGAGCTGAGCACCATGTGGCTGCTTAATCTCCCAACCCCCTGGACAGGAAGGAGAACAGGGGTGAAATAAAACAAAACCCATGGGTTGAGACAAGGAGAATTTAATACAACACAAAAGGAGCAACAAACAAGAGTCATAACAACACCAGTAATGAAACAATATATAAAAACACAGACCATGTTGGCTCCAGACAGAACAGTGCCACCACCCCAGCCTGCCCCTTGCCCTTATGTGTCAGGCAGGATGTCAGTCTGGCATTGAATGTCCCATTGGCTGCTTCAGTTGTCTGTCCTGGCTGTGCCCCCCTCCTAGCTTCTGGTGAAAATTAACCCTATCCTAGCTGAACCAGGGCAGTCTGCAAACCAGCCCCAATGCAGAAGAAAAAAAATACATTCCGAAGGAAAATAGAATTTGGTAGAGGGGAATTCTAAATTTGGTCTGAAGTAAAGAATTAGCATTTTTCTGTTAAAGCACTGCTGGGAGGTAAACACTCATTTCCTTCATGTTGAATATTAGTAGATTTTAAAAAAGTTGAAACTAGTCTTCAGATGTTATCGTTGTGTATTTGCTTTAGATTTTCACTTATAGTTTCATGACTCTTTATACCTTCTTAAAGAGGAGTAGGTGCTGGCTGCAATACAAAAGAAGTTATAGACAGGCTGAGGTATCTGGAAGCTGAAATTGAAGATCTAGAGCTAAAAGAGAAAGAATTGGATCAGCAGAAGCTGTGGCTTCAGCAAAGTATCAAGAATGTCATGGATGATTCTACAAACCACCAATATCCTTTTATATACATTGTGTGCTTCTTGGAACTAGAATTAAATCAAGAGTTAAAGCACAGGTAATGGATAAAGCACAATTTTATCAAGAACCATGGAAAGGCAAACATTTTTTCTGGTTTTGTGTCAAAAAGAAAATATAAATCTTATTTACAGGACTTTCTAACTTCTGTGGCTTTATGATTGATAACCTGAAAATAATTTAGCTTGGTGTCTTCTTTTAAATAAATTTCATTTATTTAATTTATATTTTCCTATGCTTTCTTACCAGTGCTTTACATAATGCACTGTTTTTTTATGTTGCTTCCTTCTTGCATTGCAAGGACAATGTCCTGACACTGTTGGGTTTGAAACTGGAAAAAAATTCTGTGTGCAAATACCCCACAAGCAGAGAATCCCAGCTGCATTTCTCATAACCATATGTTTATCTGTCTTTCAAGATCTTGAGCAAAATAGACATCTGAGATTGGGAGCAGGAAAGTGACGTTTTTATCTATAGCACCAGTGATAAGTACTCAAAAATTATTTGAGTTGTTCTACAGAAACTGTTCTATAAAATGGATTTTGTAGCATGGAAGATTGAAGCCAGATGTTGGGAGGTTTCCTCTGGGAGAGCTAGCAGTGGAATTGACCTCCCATGGAGGTGATGGACTATCAATCACTGGAGGGTTTCCAGAAGAGGGGAGGCAGACTTCTGTCTGGAATGTCTTAGGAGTTGATCCTACCTTGAGGTGGGGGAATGGGATGGGAAAGGAACTCTCCAGTCCCATCTAGCAGTATTTTTTGTGTGATTCTGGCAAGTCCTGATACATACTTGAATTCTATAGTGTCAAGTTAGTGAGGTGAATGGTATTCTTCAGAGCAAGATTCTATGTTTTTACATTTTTTTATTTTAGAAGAATGTCTCACATTCAAGCTACACACCCTTTTTCCTTTTTGTTTCTTTGGAGATAAAAGAATTTTTCCTTTAAAAGACAGAGCTCTGCTGGTTTTAGCCATTCTGAAAGTAAAATCATGCCTTGATTACACCTTTGAGTAACACCAATAAGTTTATCGTTTAGGCTTCAACAGTCTTCTTTTAAAGAATAACAAATACCAGTTTTGAGTTGCTTTAAGAAGAATGTTCCTTGACATAAACTACATTTTCATATGTCACCCATGAAGATATCTGCAACTGCTTCAATGGTAAGTTGCTGCTAGGCTGTATTTCTTAAAGTGAGGGATTTCCTGATCTTCCTCTTGAAAACTAGCTTTTTCTCTGCAAATATTTTGAATTTAAAAGTATTCAGTAGTGACCAGTACTAAGTAGATGTTTCTCATAAGGTTCATGACTAGCAAGTTCTGGCATTTTCTAGCTGTAGTCACAGATTGTACAGAATAGAAGCTCAGCTCTTTTTGACGTACCGGTTTTGGATGTCTCTTTCTGTATTCATACTTTTCAGCACCTTGCCTCAGGCTATTATAGAACCAGGGACAGGATGTGTTGGTCCAACCCACCAGGAAGACTAGGGAGGTCCAAATGTCATAATATTTTCTGGTGGCAGCTGTGGCCAGAGGGAGCTTCTGATGATGCTATATGTAAATGGAGCCAACTGAGGTTCAAAGAGGGGTCATCGCTACTAAATCAGAAAGATTCCTTTTGTACAGGAGGTTTGAAGAAATTGCCAAGAATTGTAGGCAGAAGTTACTTCCCTTGACATCCTCTCCTGATCCCAGGGCATGCAAGGGAAGATTGTTGTTCAGGCTTCAGCTAGGCTCTTCTTTGCCACAGGGAAGGTTGGGTTTGTTTTTTAATTAAATGCAAGATGAGACAACTACTGCAGAGTTTAACAAAACTGAGCTGTTACTAAAAAGAGTTATTTACAAAATATGGAGGCACGTGGGCTGCCAGTCACATAGTACTTCATGCAAGTGTTTCAGAAGGCAGAGAAAGGAAAGTGTTATTCCAGGCTATGGACAAAGGGGAAGTGATGTGTGGTGTAAGGCAGGTTGTGCCAGTGCTGTTCATGTAAGTGTGATCTCCTGAGTTTAACCAAAGCCACAGGTAAGTTTGAGAGCCTGCTGCTACATCCCAGTTGCATGTGCTGCAGAAGCTGTGAGCTTAGACACGAGGAAGTGCTGGCACTGGAGACAGTCATTAATTCCTTTCCTTCCTTCTGCTAAATCTCTCTCTACTACCAGCATTCTTCAAAGCTGTCAAGCGAGCTGAGCCAGAGAGCTGGTTTGGCTCAAAAAGTAGCTAGTTAAATGTTTTCATGTTACGTTACAGGTACAGCTAGGAGATCTGGGGACAGCCACGAAGAGGTGAAGGAAGTGGTAAATCTTGCACTGCTGCGAGAAAAGGTTCTTGCAGCTGTGGTCTAAGTGTTGGATTTATATTGTACCATGTACTTGGATCTTATAGGGACTATGCAAGTCCCACCATGAGCTTATTTATGCTAGAGTTGTGCAGTATTTTAAGCAGCTTTAGAGATTGCCACATCTCATTTGAGTGGATACCATGCAAGACTTCAGAAAAATATGCACATTTAACACTTTCTTAAAAATTGCTGTTTAACCAGGAGACACACTTCTAGCAATTCAAGCACCTTGTGGTACACAGTTAGAAGTACCTATACCCGAAATGGTATGTACTGATTTCTTGTTTACTTAAGCTTTCTAGAGGCACAGTGGAAAAGAGTAGATACATTGGAGTGGAGGACTTGCCACTGTCTGTACGCAAGAGGGGAAAACATAAAAATTAAGGTGGTTTCAGTTGAGAAAGGAAAGGTCAGGTGGGAAAAAGTGGTTTTGGTACACCTAGATACACTAATGGTTACTCTGTTTTCTGTTAAAAACAAGATACAATAGTGATTGTCTTTGTCTTCTCTTCTTCTCTCTTGCTTTTAAATGTTGCAGCTTTCCAGGTTAGGCATAATTGTCGTGAATTGTCTTGAAAACCTATTAGCTGTGATTTTTATGTGTCAGATTGCTCTGTTGTGTTGTTAAAACAGATCTCTTTTGAAAAAGCCTTTCAGTTTTAATTGTAGGATTAGTTGTAGATTTAATTTAGGTTTAATCTCCCGGTACTAGATTGGATAGAGAGACAGGCTACAGTCTTGCTATAGCCAAAAGGCTCAAACGGGCAAGATTAAAGCAGGAGGATGAATTACTTACCTCTGCCCATCTTTAGGTGATGGTTGTTGTTGCAGTGCTCTGTTTTAAACAGGGTTTACATAGCTGGGAGAGAGCATTGTATGAAGCATGATGCTTGTAGAAGGCTGAAGTTCACCTGAGAAGCTATTTTTAGTTAGGCTAAGCACAGTCTAATATTTTAAGAGCATCCAAAGGTAGAACCATGTAGCTGCTCAGTGGTGCTGTCTTGGTCTGTCTCTGCTGAAATCAGTTCAGGCAGTGGTAAGGTTCTCTGTGAGACCCAAGATAGCAGCTGTGATGTTGGGGGTGGTGGGCATTTGTGGCTTCTTGTCGATGACTAAACCAGCTGATCTTAGTCTTTGAGTTTAAACTGGATGCGTTTGCGTTGGTTCCCCTTCTCCAAGGCTACTTTCCCACTTCTCTCATGCTCATTTTTTCTAGAACATAATTGGTGAAAACCTATTTGCTGAATTAGCCACTGCCGAGTCAGCAGTCTCATTGAGACTGTGCTTGAGGAAGCTAGTCCTAGCTGTATTGCTTTAGGACCTTTCCAAAAGAAGGCCTGGCAAATCAGCTAAGAAATTGTTTCTTCTGACTCATGATCCTGTGTTCACTCAGTCTAGGTGAGATATCCAACTGTTTTAGGATGCTTGGTCCCAACCAGGATCATTCCAAAGCTCCATTTAGAAGGAAGAAATGTAAATGTGCAGGAATCCATTATTTATCATCGTTGTTACTGATCAGATGTAGCCCTGCTGTGTCTCATGCAACTTGTATTCAAGATTTAGTTAAGCACTTTGAAGAATCGCATATGTGTGTGCTCTCTAATTGTGTTCTGGTCAGTAAATACATTACAGGTTTGGAATCTGATTTGGGTTTGTTTAGTTATTTTTTTTCCTAATTAGGTCACATGTATTAATTTAAAATATCTTTTTCCTTAGTATGTTTTGATAAGTTTGTGCCAATTCTCAGCTCTTCCTAATGATCTAACTAGAAGAGCACTGTATTTATCTTCTGCATCAGTTTTAGAATTCTGTTCAAACATCTTTGTTACTCTCTGTGGGAGATAACTATGCAGTTACTGTTATGTTTTGTGAAGTTCCAAGTTCTCAAGGAATGGTAACTTTCATAATATACCACCTTTACAGGGACAGAATGGACAGACGAAATACCAAATCAATCTTAAAAGTAGTTCAGGACCTATCCATGTTCTGCTTATAAATAAAGAGTCAAGTTCCTCCCAACCCATGGTGTTTCCAGTTCCTCCTCCAGATGACCTTTCACAGACCCCATCTCAACCTGCAGCTCCAGCGACTCCCCTTAAACCTGCTACAGCTCCTCAAAATCCACCAGAACATGATCTGAACCAAGGACAAGAGTTACCACAGACATCAGTTGCAGACACACCATCAGGTGGGTCCAGGGTTTTTCCTGTGTCAGGCGGGTGGGTGCCACGGTTGGGGTCAGGGCCATCCCCATAACCGTAACAGATGCTCTCTGTTAACCCCTGAAAGGGAAAG